ATGTAGGGAAAAACAGATATAAACATAGATTCCATTGCTACTTGCAAACCATTACTTGTGTTTCCTGATTACCTTATTGCCAGGTATGCAATTAGAAAACAAAATTTTATATTCTAAAATCAAGTATAAATTCATTTGATTACCGATGATCATCATTTCATAATTGATCAGTCAGTCCCAGCCAAGGTCATCAATAATTCTTAACGAAACAACTTCTAAGATGAACTGGAGAAGGTGGAAATTCAGAAAGAGGCCATGTTAAAACATTATAGTCAACTGTGAATTTCCAAGATGGCCCATCAACGAGTTTCTATCCACTCCAGTTCATTTTGAATGATGGACTAATCACATGATTTCTCCTGATAAGAAATAGATGGTAACTTTCTATTTGTTAGCAGGCCAAATTCAAGTTCCAAAAACTATATTCAACCTCCTTCCAAATTTCTCATTAATTCTCCAGAAAGATTTACCACTTCTAATCAAAGCAGAACTTCTGGATGTAACTTACTCTTCACTTGCCAATTTCAACAGGAGCATATTTTATTTACACTAGTACAGAGTCTTCTTCCAAATCTTCTCTGCTCAATTCCTCCCTCACTTTCCTCCTGATTCCTGCATGAGACTGGTTTCTTCTATGAAGCCTGAGAAGATGAGCCCCAAGTCCTCACTCCACTCACAGACAAGGCCGTGGTCAGGGCAAGGTGAGAGGAGCTCCCAGTGGGTGAAGGTCATCACAGCGTGTTTTATTACCAAGAGGACCTGAGGACTCAAAGGTGACCTGAGATGAATTACTCCAAGACAGTCTGTTGATTTCAATGACCTTTGTAAGAATGTATAATAGAATAGTGGGGGGCGGGGGGCACAGCTGGTGGTCAGAAGCCCAGCCTTGGAGGACAGTACAGGTACCAACCTCGCTGCCCTTTCTTAGCTCTGTAACAAAGAGCAAGTTACTTAAACAATCTAAGCCTCACTTTTCTGTCTGTGTAAAAGAATTATCAGAGCACCAACTTCAGAGCGTGAAGTTCTAAAGAGTTAACCTAAATAATGCATGTAGCTCAATGCCTGGCACATTATATGTGCTCAATAAAAGTTAGTCATTATTGGGCTTCCCTGGTGGCGCAGTGGTTAAGAACCCGCCTGCCAATGCAGGGGACACAAGTACGAGCCCTGGTCCGGGAAGATCCCACATGCCGCGGAGTAACTAAGCCCGTGAGCCATAACTACTGAGCCCGCGTGCTGCGACTACTGAAGCCTGTGCACCTAGATCCTTTGCTCTGCAACAAGAGAAGCCACCACAATGAGCACCCACGGCAACGAAGAGTAGCCCCCACTCGCCGCAACTAGAGAAAGCCCGCGCGCAGCAACGAAGACCCAACGCGGCCAAAAATAAAAATAAATAAAATTTTAAAAAAGTTAGCCATTATTACTGATTACTGTGGTTGTTCCTATTGAAGTCATTTAAGAATAGATAACAAAGAAACAGCACATTCATAATAACTACCTTGGGCTATTATCTCACTGTCATCACGTAATAAACAATGCTTAAAACAGATGAGACCATGGATGAGCCCAAGTGGCCCAGTGGATGAAGACGGGGCCTCAAGCATGACAAGCTAAATCACACCTTTGTTAGAGCAATCTATGGTTTGAAGGAAAAGAAAAACAGTTATGCTACTGTCACCAATAACCCACTGTGAATTCTGAAGAAAGATGTGAAAAACAGTGTTTTAACAAAAATTCACTATGGAAATGACCTAAGTTGGGGTTGAGGTTGCTCTCCAAAACCCAAACCACATTCATTTTTCATCAAGTGTTATTCACTGTGCTATGATTTTAAGACAATCGATGCAAGTCATTTGAAAAGTTGCTAGGCTTTATAAGGACGCATATGACTACAGAGCTGCAGTATTTTGCACCAAATCACTTGGATTATGAAAAAACCGCACATTTACAAGTTACTTATACCTTTAGTGAGCCTATTTATGCTAATTCACTCTCAGAAAAATAGATTGTTTATAGTCAGTATAATATCAAATTACAGAAAAAATAATCCAAAAGGCTAAAAAACATGGGTGATTAACATGATTGCCTAGACTTAAGTGACTGATACTAACAACATAAAACAATGAATTATGATACATACATAGCATAGATCATTATATAATCATTAACAGGATAGGATAATGCTTATTTGTTAAGAAAATATAGTTAGGCACAAATTATAATATAGGATATGATCAAAATTATTTTATACACAGAAAAGAAGACTGGAAGGAAATAAGTGTTACAATTACAGGGATTTGTATTGTCTATATTTTTCTGTATTTTTCAAAATTTCTACAATGAACAGGTATGATTACTTCTATAATCAGAAAAGTCTTTCTTAAAAAATTATTATTTCTATGTGCCACAAAAATCTGAAGGTAGAAAAGGTAATCTCCAGGTTCTACTCCTAGACCCTCAGGTAAGCACTCCCTGCTCTGTTTATAAGAATTCTTTAGTAGAATAGTGTGAGAAGCACATCTTTAACCAGCTATTCTTAATGTAGGTAGATGCCTTCTTTGAAAATTACTGCTATTTAGATTTCTTGATTTTCTTTGTAATTATTTCCATTATGTTCTTACCTGCCATTTTCTTAAAACAGAAAAGACATATTGATCAGATTTGCAAAAAGAAAAATTAGAAGATGACTTAATATACTAGGAACAAGAATTCAGAATTAAAAGGCTGTACATCTGGAGTTTTCAGGAAAGGTTTGATCAGTACTCATTGCCCCACCCCCAGCCCCACACATACCAATTTGTTGATTACCAAATATTTATTTGTCCTTATTCAGGCATAGCTTTAGGATGGATTTTTTTACATGTGTGAACAAAAGTCTTCAAAAATATGTGATGCTTAATTCAGATGACATACATTTCTATACCAGTGTGCCAATATTTAGATCTTTTCTTCTTAAGTCAGCTCTAAGATAGGAGAAATGGTTAAGAATTTTAATTCCTTAGTCTTAAGAAATGAATAATAATAGCCTTTCCTTCCAATCTAGTATCTTAAATGGAAGCTGTGAGGTTGAAATAGTTATGAGGAAAGTTTGAGGACTTTTAGTTGATTACCTCAGCTTAAGTATATAAAGATGCAACTTGAAAATGTTGATCCCCGTTGGTACTAACATATGTAAGAAAATGTTACTCTGACACCACTAGAGGGTACTAAGAGATACATCAAAGAAGCGAAGGGACGTTTACTACGTATACTTGATTTCTACACTGTTTGCCCCATTTTTTTTTTTTTAATATAGGAGTGATGAATGTAACTTATCAGTTTGTCCTCAGAGATACCTTTTATCCATTTGTTAGGATTCCACCCTTCTAAATTAAACAAAGAAAGAAAGCCATAACAACTTCGAAACACCTCTGCTTTTTCTTTACTACTCATCAAAAAATTTACCAGATTATAGTCAACAATACTGTATTATAAATTTCAATGTTGCTAAGAGATTAAATCTTAACTGTTCTCAGCACACAAAAAGGAAAAGTATGTGACATGATAAAGGTGTTAGCTAATGCTTTTGTAGTAATCATAGCGCAATATACGAATGTATCAAACCAACACACTGTATACCTTAAACTTATATAATGTTATGTCAACCACATCTCAAAAAAAAAAAAAAAGAACCAAAAAAACTGATCAATACCATTTTTAAGGTAAAAAGTAAATTACTGCTACTCCTATTTTAAAACTGTAAGAACATGTCTCCTATCACCTCTTCCCATGCTTTCCCTCCTTGTCTGTTACGCTTTCATTCTTTTTTTTTTTTTTTTTTTTTTTTTTTTTTTTTTTTTTTTTGCGGTACGCGGGCCTCTCACTGTTGTGGCTTCTCCCGTTGCGGGGCACAGGCTCCGGACGCGCAGGCTCAGCGGCCATGGCTCACGGGCCCAGCTGCTCTGCAGCACGTGGGATCTTCCTGGACTGGGGCATGAACCCGTGTCCCCTGCATCGGCAGGCGGACTCTCAACCACTGCGCCACCAGGGAAGCCCCGCTTTCATTCTTGATCACATATAAGCTATACAGAAAGCCAAGTCCTGAGGGTATTGTCTTAAAACTGAAAAAAAGCTGCTGGCTTTCTCTGTGTTTTGTGGGGCACAGACATTACGCTTTACATTTTTCTAAGAGGTCACTCACACACAGGCTTGTGAGCCTGTTCCCATGGAAAGGATCAGTTCAGGTCAAAACATACATTTCCCTGTACATGCTGATAGCGTCAACACAAGCACTGGGAATATGGCAAAGCCTCGTACAGGAAGCACTAATTACTGGCCTCCCGGGCACTCTGGTTAATGATAATATCTTCTCTTCTAAAGCATGTTTGGTTTCCCAGAGATCAAGAGACTGCTCTCACTGGACTCTTCCAGGTGTCCTCCTTCATTACACCTATCACATTTCCCCGGGTTTGCAGGACAGCCCTATGCTTTCCTACTACATGTGGCCCCTGAAGCAGCTTTACCTGCACTGGGCCAAGGACCTTACTGTTTCTTTCCCGGGAGCCCGTTTAGAATTTGGAAGAAGAGCCATGACCAAAAGCCAGTGGAAAACCAAATGCTCTATTTATCCCGGCAAAAAGGCCAGTGGTGGATTTAAGAGTTTGGTGTCTTTATTTATTTTTTATTTCTTTTGCGGTATGCGGGCCTCTCACTGTTGCGGCCTCTCCCCTCGCAGAGCACAGGCTCCGGACGCGCAGGCTCAGCGGCCATGGCTCACGGGCCCAGCCGCTCCGCAGCACGTGGGATCTTCCCGGACCGGGGCACGAACCCACGTCCCCTGCATCGGCAGGCGGACTCTCAACCACTGCGCCACCAGGGAAGCCCGGTGTCTTTATTTTTAAGAATTAAATGAAAAAGAGCTTTTGACAAAATATGAAAATGAGTATGCTGACCTTTAGCTTTTTTCCTCATCATGTGATTACTCAAAATAAATAAATAAACAGAGCTGGAAATATTAAAGCATGATGAGTTAACATGGAAAAAAGTTCACCTTCCATTAGCATACATAGTTTATTGAGGCTGTCATGATACTGGTAATATGCTTCAGGGACAAAGGTTTTTATAAAGTGGTCATTTCTGAGTTCTGGCAAAGATCCAATGAGCAAAACAGTTGTTATAATGTTTGGGCCATGATGATTACAAAGGTTTACACAAAGCAGTCATGAAAGTCAACGAATAATTTCTGGCTGTTCTGCAAGGGCCATGGAGAAAGTTTAGGAAGAGCTGGAGGAAGGCATCAAATGTCAACTCATGGAAAGGTTTACAGAAATGCCCTGGCTTCCTAACTGCCCCACAAAGAGCATAAACTGTCCCACAACAACTGAAGCAGATGTTTCCACTTTGTAAATACTCGCCAGAGAAATAAAGGTTTGATTTTCCAACCTATCCTTGAGCTATTAAGATACTATGCTAAATCAAGAATTTATATGCTGAAATGTATCATTTATTTGGAAACAGTATACCAATAATATTGCAAACCACCAACTGAGCTGCTGAGAGTGGAAAGTATCACACTTATTCCCTGCAAATATGTGGCTCACTTTATAATTATTGCAAGTCAGAGTGAGTCTGATGAAATCTGCAAAGGCTACTTCCAATCTCACCATCATAAAGATAGCATCGTGGAGCAATGTGGAGCTCATTTTGTTTATTTTAGGCACCTACTTATTACTCTATTCCTTTCTTCAATTTATGGATGAAACTAAGAGTGACAGACATCTACCTCCTTTGTGTTCTAGGGGAAAGAAAACAAAACAAAACAAAACAAAAAAAACACTGCCTAATGTTTCAGAAAGAAATGATCAGATTGCTCCTTCAATCTACAAGTTTGGCTCTCTTATCAAAACCAATGGGAACATCTGTATTTTGATTTCAATTAAATTTGATACAAAACAGTCCTCTTGTTCTAGTGTAGATTACAGATCATGTAGTATGCCTCCAAAAATTGCAAGCCATTTAAATTCAAAGATATTTACAATGTTCTCCCCATGGATTGTTTTAGAAAGATTCTTTTACTATATAAAGTCGGAGCACCTACAAATGCCGCATGAAAATAAAATTTCAATGTCACTTGTTTCCTGGAAGGAAATATTTGTGCTTCAAACATGTGATAGCAGATGTTAGCCCTGTATCTCTGCCAAACTCAAATTAAGCTGTCTTCTAACAACTTCATATAGCACAGCTACTTTCATTTTTTTCAATCAGCTCCGCAGTTCAGTTGAAGCTGAGTAACTGCAATGTATTATTCCTCACAGGCCTGCATTTAAATGATGAAACTACCTTTATCTAGCCAAACTTAACCTCTACAAAGCTAGTTTGCAAGAAGTCCGACGGTTGAAGTCAGCCATTGTTAAAAAGGCACAAAAGGGCTTCCCTGGTGGCGCAGTGGTTGAGAATCTGCCTGCCAATGCAGGGAACACGGGTTCGAGCCCTGGTCTGGGAAGATCCCACGTGCCGCGGAGCGACTAGGCCCGTGAGCCACAACTACTGAGCCTGCGCGTCTGGAGCCTGTGCTCCGCAACAAGAGAGGCCGCAATGGTGAGAGGCCCGCGCACCGCGATGAAGAGTGGCGCCCGCTTGCCACAACTAGAGAAAGCCCTCGCACAGAAACGAAGACCGAACACAGCAAAAAAATCAATCAATTAATTAATTAATTAACTCCTACCCCCAACATCTTCTTTAAAAAAAAAAAAAGGCACAAAAGTATGTCTTCACATTGGAAAATGGAAACAGTACTTGAAAGAACTTTTGCACTGACAGACTGCAATTTTTCTTTTTAATGCTGACATAAACAATGAGAAGATCCTCGCTGACCAAGATGGTATATTACATGTTTGTATGCCTTGCACTGCATAGCAGAGTCTCTCATAGATGGGATTAATAAAGTGGGTAGACATACATGTGACTTCAGAACAGAGAATAACAATTTTAGCCACAGCCACTAAAAAAAAAAAAAATCGCTAGCATTTCACCGTATCACTAGAAATATTTAGAATAGCTAACATTTCTATAACACTTTACTCGGTATTTATAGTAAAACCAAAGAGCAGTTGCCCTGCATTCACGTGGGAAGACCATGGCTCTGGGTGCAGCTGCACCTTGAGGGTATCCCTGAAGTAGGTGAAAACACATTGCTGGGTCCATGATGCGACTCTGCACTATTTAGTCAACTGCATTTCACCTTGGGGCAGGGGTGCTTTTTAAAAACACTTTCTAGTCTGCTGTATCAGTTCAAGTATCTAAGAGAAGTTACATCCACAATTTTGAGAAAATGGGTAAAAGTTTTTGGTTTTTTAAAACATATAAAAGCTGTATGTATTTAAGGTGCACAACTTGATATTTTAATATGTATACATTGTGAAATGATCACCACAGTCCCACTAATTAACACATCTAACCCACTAATTAAGCCACAGTCCCACTAATTAAGCACATGTCTATTGGAAATGATGCATGTCATGTTTCTGAAGACATGAAATTCTAAGGGAGGCTGCAAACTCCTCTATTAGCTTCTCCTGCCAACCTCATTGCCAGCCTCATCCTGCAATGACAGGAACTTAAGCTGTTGTGATACATCTTAGTGATATTTTCTCTGATTATAATACTGTATTTCCACACAAGTATATGTGGAATACACAAAAAATTCTAAAATGAAACAACACCCGAACCTCTCAGACCCCACTACAAAAAATAATCACTGCTAATATCTGGTGTATTTTCTTCTAGCATTTTCTCAAAGTATGTATGTCTTTTTTTTAATATTTATATTCAATCATATATTTATATTCTCCTTCAGATTCTTTTCCATTATAGGTTATTACAAGATATTGAATATAGTTCCCTGTGCTATACAGTAAATCCCTGTGTTTTTTTGTTTGTTCTTAAATTTTTATTGGAGTATAGCTGCTCTACAATGTTGTGTTAGTTTCTACTGTACAGCAAAGTGAATCAGCTACACATATTTGGTTTAATACATTGTATCCTTCATTTTTATATACTTCATCTTGTATTTAACAATATCTTGTGACCATTTTCTGAGAGATTTTAATAAAAATTCTTCAAAAACTGTAATATTTGATGGTAGCATACTGTTTCAATGTAGATATAATTATCTATTTCCCTATAGTTAAATATTTAGGTTTTTTTTTTTTTTTCTATTTCTCTATTATACATGGTGCTGTGGTAAGTGTCCATTTATATAAACCATTACAACAGTTTGCGGGGACGTTATTTCCTTATACTAGTTATTTTAGTATGGGATACTGACTTAAAAGTCTTGAAGATTTTTTACAGTTCTTGACACATATTGCCAGTTTGTGCTTTCCAGAAAGGCTGAACTAAGTTTACATTCCTTTCAGCAATGCGTGAGGGCCTCAATTTCACTCTAGTAAAAATTAAATACTAATTTGTTAAGAATAAAGAATTCTCATTTTAATTTGCATTTCTTTGACTACTCGTAAAGTTGAACTTTCCTATTACATATATGTTTCTTGGTATGTTATCTACGAATTACCTGATTACATTAGTTCCATTTTTCTATCAGCATTTTTACTGCTGATATATAAGACCTCACTATACATTAAGGATATTAACTTTTAGGCTGTTGGTTACAAATTATGATAAATCTTTATAATTTGTCACTAATGATTAAAATAATATATATTTATTATAAAGAATTTTAAAATATATAAAAATATATTGGAGAGCATACATGTTATCCATGATCCTATCAACTGGGGATGGTTAAACACTGTGATGAACTTTTTCTGTTTGTAAACATTTAAAAAATAAAATTGGAATCACTGTGTTCTATATTTCTTAATACTTTGCCATAAGCATCTCCTCACAACATTAAATACTTTTAAAACATTTATAGCTGTGTGATATTCCACTGCATATGTACCATAACTTGTTTAAACATATTCCTCCTTTAAACAGTATTTAGATTTTTTCCAAATATTTGCTCTTATGACTAACTCCGCCATGAGCAATCTTGTGATACATGTGATACAGTTTTGACGCTACATTTAAGATGAAGTTCATATCCACGTCTCCTCCACGGGCTCTGTGACATCAATACTGCACCTACCTGTTACTTGAGTAGGTGCAATGACTTGGCTGGCGCTTGATGTTGAAGCTTCAGGAGCTACTTCCACAGGCACAGGAGGTGATGTTTTTTCAATCACTACTATATGAGGAAGGAGGGAATAAAACGAAAATTAAAGGCTGTTATGTGCACTGAGATCCCATTTCAAAATGCAAGCATAATTTAATCCAACAACATACCACAGTAATTCTTGGATATAGGAACAGCTATGGGTCCCTAAAGCTCATGGTATTAGCCTGTAGCCCTGGTTTCAACATTTAGCAAGAATATCTGGGAGCAATTTGGAAGCCAAGAAAAATGACCCTTCATCAAATGATGAACCTCAATAATGTTCTAATAATATACACTACTCCTGACCACAGAAAATAGTGAAAAAATTTTATCATTATAATACTTATAATATAGTAGTCTCCCCTCATCTGAGGGGGATATGTTCTAAGACCTCCCCAGTGGATGTCTGAAACCGCAGATAGTACCAAACCCTACATATACTATGTTTTTTCCTATACTAACGGGCAGGAAGCATATAGAGCATGGATACTGGACAAAGGGATGATTCATGGCCCAGGCAGGATGGAGCAGCACGGCGCGAGATTTCATCATGCTACTCAGAACAATGACCAATTTAAAAATGTATGAATTGTTTACTTCTGGAATTTTCCATTTAATATTTTTGGGCTGCAGCTGACCGCAGAAAGTGAAACCACGGATAAAGAAGGATTGACTGTACCATACTTACACTAACATTATATGAGTATATTAATATACATAAGTGTATTTCACATTTTACTTCACTTAGGAACTCTCCTGATTAAAACTTTAAAACCAAAGACACAAAAAAATCCTCATTTTACTCTTTTATCCAGAGTACTCTTACAAACAGCACAAATCAACACAGGCTACCTGGAAACTGCGGATGCAGATGAATAGTGGAAATGCCTGGAGAGAGCTGGGGTTGACTAGGCTCAAGTTTGGTTTTCTCTTGATCCAATGAAGGTATTTCCTAGATGGTTGTATTAAAAAGAAAAAAAGAGGAAAACAGAAAGTAGGAATTTTTAGTTTCCACATATTACTATTTTTATAAATTTTACTCTTAGAAAGGCAACAAATATCACAGGTACACAAAAACTTGGGCAATTGCTTGAAATTTAAAAAACTGAACCATTGCTGTGCTGCTACTATACTAAGCCCTTGAGTTTTCCCAGCAGTGCTGATATGTGCACACACCCTCACCCATTTCCCGGGGGCCCAAAGCAAAAGGTCTCTTTAGATATTTTAAACGAATGCCTTGCCTCAGGGGCCCACGTTTGGTCTGGAACAAGGCAAAACTGACCCCAGAGGAGAACTCCACCATCACCTCATTCACATGTGGCTTCTGCCCAAATGACCAGCCACACTTTGCAGATTAAGTAATGGATACAGGTGTGCCATAACAAAGAACACACAATACATTAAAATACAGTAAGCCAGTCAGTCATTACAGTAACTTTACACCTCCACCTCTCAGAATACTGGTAGTCAAACAGCAACAGAAAAATAGGGACTTGGAGGAACACCTCACACATCCTGTTGACCACTCCTGTCCTCTGGGCCAGAAGCAAAGAAACAGACTGGCACCCAGGGTTCAGTTTCCAGTTACAGCTCCTTAGGGCTCCTGCAGACTGAACAATCGGGCTAGGTAAGGATCTGAGACCTCACTCACACCATTGTGGGCCCTGAGCGCTCACATCACCACTCCTGGTTAAAGCACTCCTTGCTTTAATCACTGTCATCTTCCAGAAAGCTCACTCCCCTGGCCTCTGTTTCCCTTTTACCTTATCACCTTTTCTGCTTTTGATAAAATAGATATCCTGCCTGAGTATGTTATCAAAGACGCAACTGTGTAGGCATGAGTGCTTACATGGTAACTCCATTTAGATATTCCACAAATTCCTCAAACCCATCCCTTCCCCAAAGCATCCAGGCTCTGATTCCACCTTCTTCATTTCTATTAACGCCACAGTCATTAACCTGTCCAGGTTTAAAGTCACTTTTTAGTACCCCCCCTTTCATTCCTCATTCCAAGCCCTGCCCATTTCCACTATTCCTTATATTTGTTCACCTTTTTCCACATCCATAGCCCCCACTACCCTCGTGTGCACTCACTCTCTCATTCTCAGTTTCCTGTGGTCATCTAATTGACCTCTCAAGCTTCCTCTTTCTCCCCATCTCAGTTAATCCTGCTGTGATGCGTCTTCTAGAAACATTGAGCACTTATTACTTTTTCCCACATTTCCCCCTCTTCTTTTTTTTTTTTTCACAAGAGTATGAAATATTTATTAAAAAATCATGCATCAGACTGTACACTCTAGAAATAAAAGAAGATTCAAATTCAGTAATAAAGGTAAGAGCAATACCTGCTCTAACATTTAAGAAAGACCTTGGACTCCCAAAAGGTCCTGGGCTCAATTATCCTTTTCTGTTTGCAGAGACGCAGTAGCCAGGGCTACTGCTGTGACTGGCTGGGCAATTCCATGGAGTTGTGTCTTTGCAAGTTTCTTCTGTTCACATTCTGTGACCAAACGGTTCGACTCTGCTGCACTGTATCCAATAAGAGTCTTCAAGTCACAGACAAACTTGTATACAATTCTCTTGCCTTGAACTTTACAAATCACGTCCCCATCATAATGATACCTTAATGCCTTAATGACTAAGTTTCTCATAGTTCACTGTAGGTTTATTTTTACGTTGTCCCCATTTTTGTGCAACCAGTTTGGGCTGATTTAGCTTAAATTCTCCTTCATCACCAAGCCAAGAAATGCAGTCTCGAGCATCCTTGTCAGTAAGCAGTTCTAGCAAAAACTGCCACAGTTGGATTTGGCCGTTGTTTCCTGTTCTGTTCCCAGGTGAACTTCTATCTTCTGAAATCCTTGGAGCTCCTTGTACTTTAGCTGCCTTTGCACTGCTATTTATAGCTTTAATGGCTGTTGGTGCAGCAGACTGCACTGATGCTGGAATAATTTGCACAGGTTGATCAGCTGTAGCTATCTCATTCATCTGTTGTTCTTGGCTTTGCCAATACATATTTTCGAAGAAGTTCCAGATGACTCCAAAGAATTTCTCCCCGGGGAACCCGCTGCAAAAAATCTTCTTGGTTGAGACTACGGAGTTCTCTTCCGGAAATCGGTCATGCTGAATTCCTTCATTACCCAAACCACCCAATGCAGGACTTGGTCTGTGGACCACTGTATGGGATCATAGGGTACCCCAAGACGTTCTTGCTTTTTCCTATAGCCTTCCAGAGCAGCAGCCCATCTCGTCACTTGTTCCGAGGTTTCATCTGAAATGGCTGTAATGTGTTGAAATGGCTGTAATGTGTTCTGTGCCATCGAGTTACCACCTGAGCTTCCTCAACAAGATGTGCTTGCGCTTCGGCATGTTGGGCATCTGGACCAATAACTACTTCAACTGTTTCTGCAGGTTTAACCATTTCCAGGATGTTTAGCTTTGGTTCAATTCCTTGGTAAGAAATTACCTGTACACTAAGCTGTACAGGTCCATCTGTCTTTACTCCTTGGTCAAATAAACTTCGTTCTGGATCCAGCTGGATATCTTGCAGGTAAATTTCATGAGCATCCAAAGAACACTGCAGTCTTCGTTCTAGTAGTTTCTTTAAATTGCCTATTGGCTCATTGATGTCTATGGCCTGGCTTACACATTCAGCTGGAGTGTAGGTTTGTTCAACAATGCTTTCTTCTGTGCACTCTGGTTTCTCTGTTCCATCAGTCTCAATTTCTATCAGCTCCTCTGCTTCTCTTTTCGTCAAAAGCTGACCCCTCCACTTCCTCCTCCTGTTTGGCTTCTGTCTCACCTAGAGCCGTCCGGTCGCCGACTGTCTTGGAGACGCTTCCTGTCCGGTGAGTCTCCCCCTCTTCTTAAGAATACAGACTAGCTTTTCTATTATCTATTAAAAGGTGACCCCAGTCAGTCTCAACTGCAGCCCACCCCCTGCAGCCCATGGTCAATGCTAGCAAGGAGCAGACCATGACCAGCTATGAGTCCACTCCCGCAGCTTACAGACAGAATTCCACACCTGCCCCTTGACTCCCCACCCCCAGCAGCATGGGGCGGCCGACTTCCTACTTCCTAACCAATGTCACTTCTCCACTTGACAAGTACGGTCCAGTTGAGGAGGAGGGTATTTCCCCACCGACTGCATCTGCAGTTTGGTGTTCCAAGCCTTCCAAAGCAGCGTCCCCCCCCCCCCCCCCCCGCACGAAGTTCTCTTTCTAACGGAGTCTCCCCTGCTCCCCTAACTGACCTCTTGCTGGCCCCTCCCTCCACTGCACCTATACGCACGTAATTTCCCATCAAGGGACCACCCTGCTTTCTCTTCATCAATCTTTAATATTGTGAGACCTCTGCAAAAAGTCAAGACCACAAAGCCTATGGCTGCATTTTCCCCACTGCCTCCTCTCCAAGTAAACTGCAGGAAAAGTACACAAGCAAATCCTCAGGCCCTCTTTCAGATCCTTTATGAGAGTTACCATAAACTCAGTCATAAACAGAGGAGAACAAAATCAGATACGATGAGGCTGTCAGGGAGCTGGCTGGCCCACTCATGGGCTAAAGGATTCCTCCCACTCATCACCCAGAACGAAATTCAAAATCAACAAAATTGCAAACTACTGTACATCACTGATCTTTGGAAATGCTACCCAAGAGCTGCAAATATGCATGTAAAATATGCATATCTGTTGCACTTCTTTGGGGGTCAATATAATGTAACATGTTTCCTTATTGGATGCTGTCAGTCTAAAATGGTTCCTTTTTTCTGGATTCTTTCAGCACTTTTAACACTTATGTTATTCTATCCCCCTATTTATAAGCTAAAGATTTAAAAAACTATTTATAATAATTCACATATGTATACGACCCATCTAAATCCTAATAATTACTGCATTCTTGCCAACTGAATGAACACTACACAAAAGTATAAACATTTAGTAATTACCTAATTTTCATGTTACCAATAAAGAAATATTCAGACAAGGAACAATATTACATAAATAGGACAGAGCTCCAGCAAATGCCAGTATTTTCTACTGATAAATCTCACAATTCATAGCCTTTTTCTGGTGCCAAAAAAAGAGAGATTAAAATTTCTCTAAAATTTTAAAGAAGCAATATCCCAGCATTTGATTATAAATTTCAAGGGTAAGCTCTGCTCCTACTCCAATTTAACTCAAACATGCACGTCAAATATTAGCTGAACTAAGAAGTACATCATTCAGTATATATATGCACTCTGAGAATACACAATTACATAAACATGTCAGAACCTTTCTTTCCATAGATGGTCCAGGCCATGAACTGACTCCTTGAATTTCATTTAAGCCCCTGATTCCCATCAGTCCTATCGTTTTTTTCTCCCTAGATTTATGTTCCATGAGAACAAGGAGTTTTGTCTGATTTGTTCTCTACTGTTTTCCTAACATTCAGAGTAGTGCCAGTTATACAGTAGGTGCTCAATAAATATTTATTGAATGAATGAATGCTATATTTCCTTAAACCAAATAATGCATAATAGACACGTTACTGTATTTAAGTCTTAAAAAATCACACATAATCTAGAGGAAAGTCATTTTGAAGGTAACAAAAGACAACTTGCAAACAATGAATAAATTACCTTCTCAGGAGGTACAGTTGCCACTAAAATCAAAAAAGAAAGAAGGACATTAGTACAATTTAAGACAGTCCACTACATAATATTTCATTTTCTAAAAAGCAACAAAAGTTCAGTATGTCTCCAACAGGATTAAGAATCAAACTAAATCAAATGCAGAATTATGGTCATCTACCATTTTGGAGAATTTTACGCGCCTGACAGGGGAAAAGTATCTGTGCTATATCATTCCTCAATTACAGGAGATCAGGTAGCAGATGTGATGAAGTTCTTTCCAACTCACTTGCTAACTAAAAAAGTTAAAGGAGGCAACACTTCCTGGTACATTGTTTCATGCCTAATCTCAATTTTGTAGAACTCCCCACACCTTGGAAAACAAACATATTCATTATACTTATCCTTAACATAATAAATAATGTTTGAAATGCTTTCTTTTTTTTTTTTTTTTTAACATCTTTATTGGGGTATAATTGCTTTGCAATGGTGTGTTAGTTTCTGCTTTATAACAGAGTGAGTCAGTTATACATATATATATGTTCCCATATCCCTTCCCTCTTTGTCTCCCTCCCTCCCACCCTCTGAAATGCTTTCTGATGTCACTGTTAAAAGAGAACGCCCTATTTCAATAAGAGACCAAAGGAAGGGTGCTGCATTCTTAGCGCGTAGTGATCTTTAATGAAGCCCTGTGAGCATTTTCAGGAAGATATGCTAACAAGATCATGAAGAAAATGACAAGCCAGCAAGATCCAATGAGAGATTAGCATCAGTATGTTGAACAAATCACAGGTTACACCATCATCAACATTATTATAGGGTGGTGGCGGGAGTGATTATGCCTTTTCCATTTTGAAACACTTTTCAAAAATCAGTATGTAGAATTAGTCCTTAAGCCTTAGATCAATAATCACAGGGATTTTTCTCATGAGTCAATGTCTCTATAAACATTAGTATAAAAGGTAGATGCATTAACTTGTAAAACCAATCAGGGCACCAGATTGTTACCACTGCTGCAATGTTCTTGTGGTTAGCAAAAGTCAACTAACCTTCTGTCCTGTCTAACCCACCACCAAGAAACTCTTGAGGCAGAATCTGGACCACAGCCCATTTCCTCCTGCTTCTGCCAAGGCAGAGAAGGTGCAAACATCTGGCCAAGTGCACAAGAGCAAACTGGCCAGCACTGTGAATTCTAGGTGAGGTCCTACCTCGTCTGCCTAACCAAGGAGAAATGCAGCAAGTGAGAGAGGGGAATAAAATAGGCTAGAACACACAGAGGTTCAGAGCCTTGAAAAGAGACCTCTCTTCCTTGCCAAGCTCCCAGTGCCTCACTAGCCTGGGCACCTTCTCCCCTCACAAAACCCATAAATGGACACCCTGAATTCTGACCTAAGAATCAAGTGTGAAAGGCCAACAGGAACTTTATTAAAGCCAATACCTATTCCACACAAAGCTAAGATTTTTGTTCCTCCCATCTGGGGTGAGCACTTTTGTCGTGACAAAGATATTCAAAGTATTGGACATGCTGGTTTCTATGGAGAGATGGAGATAGATAATCCCTCTTTCCGAACCAGAGAGTCAAAGCCCCTTGTCTCTAGTCTCCCTCTGGAGTAGACGGCCTTAACCACTTCCTCGGAAAAATGTGCTCTTTGGTCATATCACATACTCTTTGTATGACATCTGCAAGTCAGTTGCTCTAAGTCTTGGTTTCTCAAAATGTAAATTAAAAGACTTCACTAGGTGATCTCCAAAATCTCTTTCATTGATCCTGTCTTTCTTCATTTTGCTTCCCCTGATCCCTGACTGCCTGTGAGACTCTATTTCATGGATGCTCAGTTGACGCTTTAACTTTTTAAAGTCTATGGATTCCATTTTTTAAAGTAAATACATATTTATTAAATGGCCCTGTAGACACAGAAATGAATTCAGGCTACTCCCTGAAAAATGTGAATCACTCTCCAGGAATAAACACCAAGAAAAAGTAGCTCCCAAACACAAGACAATGTCCTGAGATGACTGTGGAATACTGCCACCTGCTAGGTACATACTACTCTGCAGCAGTGGTTCTCAATCAGGGGTAATTCTGCCCTCAGGGGACACTTAGTGATACTTGGACACCTTTTTGGTTGTAGCATCTGGGAGGGGAGGGTGCCACTGGCTTCTAGAGGTTAGAGGCCAAGGATGTTGCTAAACATACTACAATGCACAGAGCAGCGCCTCACATCAGAGAACTATCCACCCCAAATTGTCAATAGTACCGAGGCTGAAAACCCCTGTTCTAGAGATTATAAGCAGGGAAACCAAAGCAAAGACCCACAGACAGATGGCTAGGTCTGCGATCCATTTCCACTCTCACCTCCTGGCTCCGCCGCTCCTGGCCCCTGTTCCCGGGAGAAGGTCAGGGCCTCCACTGGCTCTTCCTTGGCTGGGAGAGGTGGAGGATGAGTACTTTTAGCAACAGGTTGAGTGTTCTTTGGCTTGACAAATACAGGTCCTTTACCTACATGGTGATGGATTGGCCTGCGTCTATGAACGCCAGATACCGTATAACCCATTCCACCAGGACAGATTTCCTTAAAAGCAGCTAGATTTGGGATGGGAAAATATTCCTTTTAAAAGTCTAAAAGTGCAAACTTATACAGAGGAAAACAGCATGATGAATATCTCTTAATAAATCATCACTAATATAGTTACATTTAAAAACTTCAAAAACAGATGCAAAATGCTTGAATTTCTGTCAAACTTGCATATTTACAGAAAAAACCCAACCCTTTCTTTTACTAAACATTTCTCCGTCTGTTAATTCCTTATCCTACCCAATCAGAATTTTATATATATATATAGCATATATAGCATATAGAGAGCACATATTTTATATATATTAACATATGTCAGCTATAAATTAGGAGATAGCATATATATCATATTTTCTATTTAATATTCTATATCACATCATGTATTACACACATAAAATATATGTAATACATTAGATTTTTAGGTACAGAACATACTATATATATTATATATATCTCAGGGGGAGTGTAGTATCAGCAAAAATCAGACTGTTCCCTCTTGCTTTGGTCTAATTTCACTAGTTATTAACCAGGAACTCAGTAACATCTAAGTTAAATGACTAGCAAGAAGGTTGAAAAAGAAAAAGAAATCACTACTGAGGGAAATGAGGTGTTGAAATCATCCTAATTTGTTTCCAGTTGAAGAAACCAAAGGACTCAGCCAGGATCGAGATTATCAGCTGATATGGGGAGGCTGGTTAAGAAGGATTGAAACAGGGCAAGTGGCTTTGAAGAGAGATTCTCGGGATGGTGAAAAGGAATCCAGCGAAATACACATGCTAAAGAGATGACGGGTAGAAATAAAGGAAAAAAGGACACACCAAGTTAGAATTAGGTATTTTCAAGGAGAGGGATGACAAGTGAGCAAAAGCCTGACCATGACCAACTGGTTGAATTATCCTGAGGGCTAGGAAATATTCTATGCCCTGGAACTGCTATTCCCGCCAGGAAGGTGGTTTTGTATGCTTTAAAAAAAAAAAAAGGTTGACTGGGGACCTGTGATTTGCTAGCCTCCATCGCATAATCGCCAGGAATGAGTCAAGGGGAGAGACAAGAGAGGCAAGGCAGTGTGGGGCCCGAGGAGGAACAATCCACCTAAGCCCTTTGGTGTCAGCGCTGGAGGCAAGTTACCAAATGCAGACACCAAGGAGCTCATGGTCAACGTTTTTATTTCTACTTTTAAAACTGAAAGCAAAATAAGTCACTTTTCACTTCCACTGAACAAGAGATCTCCTCTTGATGTTCTGGACCTAAAATTAGCTCTCGGTAAAAATAAAACCCCCAAATACTCCTTAAAACATGCTAAAATTTGTTTTTCTAAGGATCACACATTAAACGGTAGAACCTCACTCTTATGTTTAACTATGAAATACAATTTTCATGTGGAAGAATAGATGTTTCTAGCAAAAATGTTGTTCTATCAAATATTTGAAGCATGAATGAACTAAACATTACTCTTATGAAAATCACCATACATCCAAAAACTGGTTAAGTGCCAAAATTTTATCTTTAATATTATTTTCAAACTTAGTTACTGCACTTTATGGAAAAGCCTTCCGCTGTTACATTTACCGTCTTGATTTATGCTTCATGTAAGGGTTACAAAAGCTATCAAAATTGAACTTAAAGTGGGTCTGTGAATTATCAAGATCATGACTTTAATTGATTATTACTTTTTAATACTGAGAGGATCAGATCCCACAGGAGGATACTAAGGCCTTCTGGAGATGTGTCAAGTTACCCAGTAAACCAAACTACCATCAACATTATACTGTCTCTGCTTTACCAGTTCTTTCTGATCCTAGCCATCAACAAACGTGGCTCACGATAGTTAAATTTATATTTAAAACTTGTCTGCAACAGTGCAAGTTATAGGCTTAAGACATTAAATGGCCCTGTGAGAGTTAATACACTTCCCTATGTGGGAAGCACCTTATGGAACAAGAAACTGAGTAGACTTTTTTTATGCCTACCCCATGCCAGTGAAATTGGGGCCACTCCTTTTTTGATAATATCATGCCCAGTATTTGCAGGTATATTTCTTTCTCTTCTCTTTAACTCTACTTGACCCTGCTTGAGAAGTTGGTGACTCCCTGGTATAAGCAAGGCACTTAGATAAATTTATGCTTTCAGGGCATTAGGCCATTATGTACTCAACTGAAGGATAAAGAATCATCACTTCTTAATATTCAGCTCCCACCCAGAAGTTCATGGGAGCTTTGGCAGGATCTGCCCTTGAGTTATTAATCTTCATAGCATAAATTCATTCAATTATATTCATAGTGAATATAATTTTCTCCATTTCCAACTGGAGAAATCAAGCACAATGTTCTTAACAGGACCTGAGAGGCACCTGTTCAATACATGAGTGAAAGAGTTAACCTGCACCAGGTCTAGCCGCTGTGCAGGCAGTGAGCAATCATCAGGAAAGTGCAAGTCCAACAGGGCCTTCTGGTCTCTCCACACTTTCAAACAACAGACTTAGGGCCCTAGAAGCTAGGGGTAAAACGCAATGGCTTTTCTTAACATCCAAAAGGAAGTCTAACGTTACACACAAATGGGAAAAGCTCTTTGCATGTAATTTTCTCCACTGATTCAACGTCCTATGTTCATGGTTTTTACAAAAGGGATAAAAACACATCGCATTATTAATAACTAATTTTAAAGTCAGAAACCACAAATAACCCAAGCTGCCCAAATCATCCTGTGTGCTTGTGTGGCCGGGAATGAACGTGAGCACACAGTGGGGCATGTCTTACCTGTGCCTGGAAGGGGACATTTCTCACAGTGTGGGCCCCAGGCCTTGCCCACACTACAACAGCAGAGCTGCTTGGTGAGATGAACAGACAGGGGGTGCATACACTGCCTTCCGGAACTGACAAGTCGGTAACAGGGCCCTTTCTCCTCAGAGATCACAGGGGTATCCGCTGAAGCAAAGAGATAAGGCCTGACGTCACCCAAGAAATGACAAAAACCAGTTCGACATTTCACATAATAGTAAAATGAACCTAAAAGTTTGGATTAGAAATCATACTTCAGAATAAATCTGCCTAGATGTAGGGCATTACCCTTCTTGATTTAGGGTCAGTTGACCGAATGAGTTTGAGAGTCAGGACATCAAATGTCCCTGTCTCTGTCTGGTCCCTTCTTCCACTTTAGTAAGTGCTGAAAATCAACTACGTGTGCGTGAGTGAGAACAAATAATATCAACCAAAATAAACCTGCCCAAATAAACCTAACTATAAAACCTAATTATCACAATCACTGCCTCATTTGTTGTCTTGTATTTAGCCATAAGAGAGGTAGTTCTAGGGCAGAATTTGGTAAACAGCCAGGTATCATGGAAAATCAGGAACTGAACATAGTAGATACCACAAATCAGCTATCACTCTTCTTGCTTGGAGGACCATGAGAGCCTGCAGGGACCTATCCAGTCTCATCGTAGGCTAGCGACGAGCAAATGGGAGGCAGAGGACAGCTTCTGACTGGCAATGCCACACAAGGCCCCCGGTCCAGCCAGACAGCACACCAGAGAAGGAACAGATGATATCCTCAACCCCCCAGGAAACATCGCAAAAGCACATCAGCCCACAGTCATCCAATACCTAAGTCCTCATTCTGATTCTTCTTCTAAAAATTTAGTAGACGAGACGTCATTAATCTAACAGCTACTGGGCACATAGGGCAAATATGAGAATAAGAAAGTCATGTCCCTGCCTTCACAAAGATCATTTTCTAGAGTAAATGTGCATGGAGAATGTTCTACAGAGCCAGTTCTAGGCCAAGTCAACACTGCTGAATAGACCAAGCTTGACGGTCACCTCTCTGTTCATTCCCCGTGTCAACAAAAGCTCTTCTCTACTGCATCACTGGCCAAATGAGCTCTTCCCAATTTGCCTTTCCCTTACCCAATTCCTCTAGCACGTGGCACTTCCAAATCACCTTCCTTTCCCGCTCAGAGCTAAGTTTTCATTCTCACAAAACGACTGACATCTCTGCTACACGAAACAACCTGATTCAATGAAAGCACTACAGCACAGTGAAGAGAACAAGGTTTTTTAGAGCCAGACTGACCTGGGCTCACATAGTGTGTCTACCACTTGCCAGCAATATAACCTAGGGAAGTCACTTTGACTGGCTGCAATGGTTTACGTGTCAACTTGACTGGGCCACGGAACCTAGACAGCTGGTCAAAGACAGGTCTGAATGTTGATGTGAAGGTATTTTTCACATGAGATTAACATTTAAATTAGTAGATTCTGAGTCAAGCAGATGACTCTCCAGGATGTGGGTGCGCCTTATCCAAGCAGTTGAAGGCCTTAGGAGAAAAAGAGACTTATCTCCCCAGAGGAAGAAGGAATTTTGCCAGCAGACAGCCTTCAGACTCTGGCTGCAACATTAGCTGTTCCCAGGACCTCCAGGCTGCCAGCCTACCCTGCAGATTGGGGCTTGCCAACCTCCACATTCATGTGAGCCAATTCCTTAAAAATCCCTTCTCATCCACCCACGCTATTGGCTCCATTTCTCTGGAGAGAATGCTAACTAATACACTGGCTGAGCCGCAATAACTCCCTCACTTATAGGTGACAAGCTCAATGTATAGACTCAAAATATCATATGCTAAACGTTTGGTTCAGAGTAGGCACAAAATACACGTCAGCCTGCCTTATTAATAAAAGCAGGTATCTCCATCCTCTCAGGGGCATTTGTACACGACTTGATCACTGCTGTAGTGGTAGAATTTCAACAAAGTGAAAACAGTCGAAAAAAGGATATGGGTGAATTGGAGGGTGGAGCAGAGGATTGAGGGGAGCAGAGGAGACCTTCCCAAGGCTTCAAAATTTAGTTCCTCTAATAAGGCCAGGTTTGCCCAAGACTACTAAAAATGTGGTAAAAGGGAGAAGTTTGAGTCTTTTCCTCTCCCTTCTCCTACTCACTTTCTGGAGTCTGTGCAAGTCAGCTATGAAAGATTAATGGTCACAGAAGAAAAGTAAAAGAAAATTTATGAGTATGGTTATTACCCCCAAAAGGATAAGTTTCTGGAATGACTGACCATCAATTATATAGCATATGGGTGTGTGTCTGTCTCTATATATAAGTTGTATAATCTTAAGAACATATACATAGTTCTAGGACAATCAGCTCACCAAGGATTTTGCTCCAAAATTGCTTCTTCAACCAAAGTGTTTGGAATTCACAACACATATTTCCATAGAAACAACGTCAGGTCAACTCACAAGAGCCTATTTTACACGTGGTAGGGATTAATTATAACACTAATCGCATTAAGGCTAGTTCTAGATCCCAAGAACAAGGGCCATTTAAAGCAGAGCAGAGTTTCCCCAAACCCTGGACATTGGCAGACGGTGACATTGGCCCCTTGCGCTGACTTGTCCACACTCGCTCCCTGGTATCCACCTCGCCCTCATATCCAGGGTAGTGATACTACCTTAGGCACCATCCCTGTTACACTTACTCTGCTGCTCTATCCAAGGACTCTACTTTAAAGTAACATATCAGGCCTACCGCCCAGATTAACCCCAAACTCCCAATCAGCAATTCAGTTTTTAAGGGATTAGTATGTGTATTTATGTGTAAGTGAATTATAAGAGATTGCTTGTTCATTAAAGCAAGTCTCTGGTTGAGGCTCCATGCATGGTGCACACACACACAGAAAAAACAAAATTTTAGGCATTTTATCATGTGGAGAATAATGACAGAAGTCAAGCAAGCTAATTCCTCCTAAACATCTTCTCCTGAAAGGTCTCTGCTTTATAGGTTTTTGTCCTTGCATCATTTCCGAACCCAGAGATTCTCCCTAAGTGCTAGGGTACTGGTGGTGTTTTTTTTCCATGACAGCTTCCAACGCACTTCAAGTGGGGGTCTTTAAGGGAATAAGAATCACTGGCTTACAGAGTCATCAAAACTCAGCTGTTGGTGTGTCAGGGAACATCAGACCATGTTGTAACTAAACATTGTGCTTCACCCCAAGTGCACATAATAATAAGCCATTAACTAATAAAAAAAATCTGCTCCTTCAAAGATGGAAGAAATCCCAGGAGGAAGCCATTGGAAAGGTCTGGCTTACATACCTAAATTATACTAATGCTCCTATGATTCAAATTTTCTTTGCTCTACAATTATGTGGATCAAAAAGTGTTAATTTATGCCTCCCTCAGATTTCTAACAGGATGTGCCCTTTAAAATGGCCTCTATTTTAATGTCTAAGTCACCTGTTATTCTTTTATCATTTCAAATGACTTATATGGCAATTCACTTATTTCATTAAACACCACCTCTAGCATTTTCACATTCAACATGATACATAAACTCAGGAACAACATGCTACCTAGAATGATGCATGATTGGTGTTTCTACTGTCTGAGTATCTTTAACCACAGATTGAAAGGCTGGTTGTAAAAGCTAATTCATTAGTTTACTACATTTATTATTTAAAATATAATAAACATGATTATATAGTCTATTGCATCATAAGGATTTACACTATACTAAAAAAAAATCAATATTGCCCAAAGATTGCTAAAGAACTGGTGGAAATGGGAATGGGACAGAGCAATGAGGAGGAATTACAAAGCATGCTAGTAGGTTCATATATGTAGGTACCCTGAAATATGGGTTTTGCAGATTGCATTTTTTGTAGGATGTGTTGCTAAGATTCAGGTGCACAGATTCAGGTACTCTATATGGAGGGAAAAACATTTCAGAAGCATAAACCCTACTAGAAATGCCACATCAGTCAGTCAAGAAAACAAATATTTTGCTCCTGGTGACAGACATGGGAAAAATTTTCCAAAGAAATAAACATATAGCTCTATACCCAAGTATAGTATTGAATCTTCACCATATATATCCAATGCTGATGGTGACTGCATAACAAACCACCGTGAGAAGGTAAGATGCTATGGTTCTCACATTTGGGCTCCCCGATAATGTATTAACCAACTTATACTTAATTATAGGGTCGTACAACTAACTCTGATTAAACTTTCAAAGCCATGCTGCTCTTATCAATTCAAACATAAATGTAAATATTATTAAGCAGATATAAATTAACCTGGTACTTGGAACAAGCTGAAAAACAGAGAAGACTTGAGGAGACAGCATATAAGCTTGCCTCTCCTACTAGTTTGTTTTCACTCCCCCCCTCCCCCAAACACCTCCAATATCCTTATTCACTTCTTGGATGAAATTCCACATTAGAGTTTCATGCCATTAAAGCTTAAAGTCCCAATGGGATGAGTGCTGGGATGCAGGTGTGGGGAGCAAGTAACACTGTTAGAAGGAGTCTGAGAGATGACTTTCCTAGGGAAGTAAGAGCCCATAGGCACCCTTTTCAGGAAACGGGTTATTACAAATAAATTCTGCGAGAACCAAAATTTTAAAAAAACAATGATTCTGAGGCCACTGCAGAGTCAGACCAGCATTTTACAGTGAGACTAAATAGTGGCTCTGCTTAAATAGATGACTTGCTCCTGTCAATTTAGACCAGTTTCCTCTTCCTGATTAAAGGCTCAGCTTGTGGAGTGAGACAAATTGAGTTTCAAATTTGGGCTCTACTGCTTACAGGCTGTGTGACTTTTGGAAAGATCCTTAAACTCTCTGTGCCTCAACTTCTTCATTTCTAAAATAGGAAGAACAATACTATAAGCCTCATAGAAATCTTGTAAATATTATATTTGATAATCTATATAAAGTACTCATCACAGTGCCTGGCACTTAGTAAGTACACAGTAAAGATTACTACATTACTGTCACGGTTTTGGTTGTTACTGCTTTTATATGGGAGCAAACAGTTGGCACAGATCTGTCTGTACAACCTCAAGGCCATGATGCTGTAAGACCACTAAGTGAGGAAAACTACAAGCCTAAGCTGAGACAGCCACAGAGGAGGTGGGAAGAAAGGAAAAGGCAGAAAATAGATTATGAAGATCTAATGACTTTCTTGGAGACCAAAGGAGATGACAGAGTCAGAGGTGACACAGAGGCTCCCAGCCTCATTTCTGGGGAGAAAAACGTCACCATGGACAAAATCACCAAGTCAAAAAGGAAAGCCCATTTTTCTCTCTCTGCTAGAGAGATCTAGCAGTCATTTACCCAATCAGCTTTATTAAAAAAAAAAAAAAAAAGAGGATCTAGAACTATGAGATCCAATTTGTTAGCCCCTAGCCACATACTACTACTTCAATAAAATTTAAATGAGATACAATTTAAAATTCAATTCCTTAGTCACACCAGCCACTAGTGACTAGTCTATCACATCAGAAATGTTCTGTATCTGCACTGTCTATCATCACAGAAAGTTCTATTGGACAGCACTGATCTAGCCCAAAAGTCAGCAAATTTTCTCTGTGAAAGGTAAGATAAATATTTTAGGCTTTGTGGTCCATTTGGTCTCTGTTTCAACTTCTCAGCTCTGCCACAGCAGCATGAAAGTGGCCTTAGACAGTATATAAATGAATGGACATGGCTGTGTTCCAATAAAACTATTTACAAAAACAGACGGTGGGACAGATTTTGCCCACGGGCTATAATTTGCCAATCCCTGATCTAGAACCCTAAAGTGAGAGGCACAAAACCCAATGTTAAACCTCAAATGTCATTTACAAGCTATATGATCTTGAAAAGTTACTTAAACTCTCCTAGCTTCAGTTTCCTATTGTGTAAAATAATTCAGATCTCATAAGGAAGCTGCAGAAACTAAAAAGAAATGATGTTCATGAATATGAGTGGCTTTTCGAAGGGATGAGTTCGGCATCTCATGATTTCCAGAGTTAGGGCAGAAGCACATCTTCTCTCTAACCCTCTATTTCTGTCAGTAAGCACCAAGTCCATGGGTCAAGAATATTATGAAACAGCAAATATGCAGGCTCAAAATTCTTTTTTTTTGAGGTACGCGGGCCTCTCACTGTTGTGGCCTCTCCCATTGTGGAGCACAGGCTCTGGATGCGCAAGCTCAGCGGCCACGGCTCACGGGCCCAGCCGCCCCGTGGCATGTGGGATCTTCCCGGACCCGGGCACGAACCCATGTCCCCTGCATCGGCAGGCGGACTCTCAACCACTGCGCCACCAGGGAAGCCCCTCAAAATTCTTTTACCTGGGCCCTTTGAACCTGTGGACACATCCTCCCCAGCATTCATCCTGGACCTCTCGAATTTCTGAAGAAAATTAATTGCAGCTTAAAAAGTCAGAAAGCTTTCCTACTCCGACTGCACAGGTTATTATACTTTTCTTGGATTGGCTCTGAGAAATCCTGGAGTTTCACCTTTCCCCACAGAGAGGTAGGAGCAGGTCTGGAGAATGCTACTGCAGCAACGCCCTGATCCACAGACACAGAGGTCGGAGACAGCAAACGTCAGAACCCTCCTACTTTCTTCTTTCAGCTTGGCTAAGTCAAGGACAGGGCGCGGGCAAGGAGAGAAAGTGAAGTGGTTGCAACCTTTGGCTGCAGTCAAGGAATTCTGAGGGTGTTCACCTCAGCGTATTCGAGAACAGGGAGAGCTTCCCATCGCTCCTCAGCCACTGCCAAGTGCATTTCTTTGAGTTCACAGAGTCAGCCACACCTTTTATGGCCTGGATATGCCCTAAATTCATGCTGCCTGAGCAAACGTGGTCAGTCTCCTCCATCTGCTTCCACGGTCTATCCAAGGCTGTTTTTATATCTTGCAAGAGCATTTACTCCAAATGATAGATAGCTTTGCTCAGTGCCTTTGTGTGTCTGTGTGCGTGTCTGAGCGTGCGTGTGTGCACATGTGTGACCCCCGGTCTCCTTCTGCTACTTCCCCCATGACTATCAAGGGTACCACCAACTTGCCAGTGCTTTTCCCCCCTACTTTGTAAGTATCACCTTCTCCCCTCAATCTTTCTCAAGACATCCCTTCTCTTCAGACTTCCCTATCAACTTCTCCAAAATATGGTTCACCCACAAATCAGACTGGATTGAACCAAGTCGCAAATCCTGAAAGACTTTACATATCTCTATGATATTACATGTGGTAATTTCAGAGGAAAGAGAAATAAATCTGCCCACTCAACGCTGGTAAACAGCCTAGGTTTTAACTTCAAACTCTAAACGGGAACATTTAACTAGCAACAAACGTCTCCTAATACTTATCGTTTCAGCTGCTGTAGCTGAACCATAAAATTAAATTGTTTATTTTTCAAATATGAATGGATGGTTGTTTAATAAGTTCAGTATTATCTGGGCAATGACAGGGAAAATAAATGCTACGGAAAGTGTGTTTCAAAAATCTCATTGGCAGGTTTCTACAATCTTATTAAAACCTGGATGTCTGTCCTTAGCTCTAGACATCAGATCTAGTCAAATAAAACACTTTGCACCAGTCCTCTAAGTGTACCTAATCTACAACATTCAATGTAGTCATTTTAACCAGACTACAAAGCAAATTATTTAAGGAAAAACAAATATTCACAACAAATTCTATATTCAAACTCTAAAAATGTTTTATGCTTAAATTATACAACTGTATTTACAATACTCTACTCATGTAATTCCAATCAGCCAGAAGTTATCCCTAAATTATCTGGATATTGTCAATGATGTCATTTTTGGCCTGAAGTTTCCAAATCCTTGCATCAGTTTTCAAGTGTACCTTGTATGCAAGCATAATTTTACAGTCTAATTTTATTACCCGCCGAAAAAGCCCTATAATTAGGTGCCTGCCTGCTTTATGATCAGAACTGTCTGTGAAAGAACACGGAAGAACTTAATGTGCAAAATTTCCTAATCTGTATTTGACAGGTTTCAAAGGAAAATAGTAGTAATTAGTTACAATGTTCCAAAACGCTCAACAAACTCCTCTAAAAGTAATGAATGAGATTGCCATTTTTATTTTATTACATTTGTCTTTATTTCACCATGTCTATCCATCAGCTTAGGGCACAGAGTTAGAGATGCACAGTTAAAAGCAAATGATGGTACCATCATGAAAAATATGTCTTGATGATACGACAAATTTAAAACTGGGGACCAGAAAGATACAACTTAACATATACCAATGCCACATTATAAAAACAGGTAAATAAAAACAAAAACCTAGCAAGACAAAAATTAATGCAGGATTGCTCTTAACATTATCTCGACAGTTTTCTGCCCTACTTTAGTTTAAAATGTTTAACCTTTAATCGTATGTGACTTTGAAAAACTGTTGCATTTACCTACTTTGTAATAATGGGCACAAGTACCTTAAAAATAAGGTAGTCTTAAAAAATTCTGTGTCTGAGCCCTTTACATCTAAAATGCATACATCTCTAATTGTCAGGTGATCTGTATTGATTACACTGGATTAGGTTTTGTGGCAAGAGTGTCTTTTTGGAGAAATTACATTTTCTGTACCAATAATAGCACATAAGATTTGATGCAGGATTTTTATCCTTAACAAGTTAAAAAAAAAAATCTTAGAGACAGATTTGTAAGACAAAATAGTTTAACTTCAGGGACACATATCAGTGGTTTTTGAGGACAACAGAATAGAATATTTGAAATTAGAACTGAATAAAAAAATCTGAAACACAGAGCCTTGCTAACTATTTCCCAGACTCTTCTAACCAAGAAAGTACAGTGAAGCCTCATTAAATCAGACAGAAGTGACTCAGAATTTGGACTAATTAAAGACAGAAGCTGGGACAAAGTTTCACTCCACCTAAATAATGCTTAAAATACTAATGAAGGAAAAATCTGTTTTCATGTCTTAGGTATGCTAATTTTAATTAACTGTTTCTTTGCATAATTCCTCTGTGTGCTTGTTCTCTACCTTAAGTTTAAGCTGTCATTTTTTCTGAACACAATAAAAATGCATTTTTAAATAAACATAGATTTACTGTAGTATATCAGGCTGCCTCCTCCCTCCTGTCATTTTAATGACATTTCCCTGCATATTTACAATATTCAGTTGACCGCTGAGTATTTACCTTCTTTTGGATACTTCCCCCTTCCCCCCACCCCCCCCAAAAAAAACACGCAAAATAGTAATAAAAAGTGATCATTACTTACGAACACAACTTGAAAAGGTAGGATCTGGCCCAAATCCTATTTTGCAGGTACATCTATAGCTGCCCATGGTATTCAAACACTCACCATTAGGGCACACACCCTGTAGTTGGCATTCATTAATATCTGCAGGAAAACAATTCTTTTAGAAAGAGAAGTCAAGTTCTATGGAACAGATTCTGGCTGTAAATTGCATTCCCTGTCTTTATCACTGTAATACCTCTCAGTTATAGTAAGTAAGAGATGCGAGCAACTCTTAATGCAGCAGCAGTTTAATCAAATCCAACATTTGCTGAACATCTACAATTTAGCAAATATTTACTATGTACCTACTATGTACCTGGTTCTATGCTAGATACTAGAGACTTACCAGTGAACAAAACTGACCAAAGATGCCAGCCTTCACAGAGCTTATATTTTAGTGTTAGTGTTTTTTAAGTATTATAGGGCATACAGGCAAGGCGAAGACTCTTGCCCTGGAGACACTTATAGTCTAGTTGTGCCTATAACTATGTAAAAATTAAAGAAGTGAAAATCATTATCACAGCCAGAAGAAAGGTCATAAACATGAAGAAATTAAATTATGAAATTGTCCGTATAGACAAATAAGAGCTACTAAAGGAAGGTGGAGATAAGGGAGACTGCAGCATGGAGAAGGAGGTAAGACTTCATCAGGTGTTGAATTTGGGGAGAAGCCAGATGGATGGGCAGGAAGGGGTGAATGATCTACATGGGTGGACATCAGAGCATGAGTGACAGAGACTGGAGAAGGAAAGGGATCAGGAAATCATGAGTCAAACCGTTGGCTGGAAAAGAAGTTTCAGGAAGGTGAATAGTCGGAAAAAGAGCTGGTTAAAGCCAGGCTAGGTTTGGATGCAATTTTACTGAAAACAGGGAAATATATGAAAGGTCTGTGAGCAGCAGGAAGATATAATCAAGGGCGGGTTCTAGGGAAACACATCTGGCCAGCACATGGCTTGGTGAGATGAGATTAAAAGTTTGATCACTGAAGGAACAAAGCAAGTAGGAGACTGGTGACAAGCCAGGTTAGTGAGAATAATCAGGAAGAGAAGGAATGAAGTTTTGTTTTTTGTTTGTTTGTTTTTGAAGGAACAACTGACAGTCCATGGTGTTTGGTGTTTGGCCAACATGGCACTGGAGAAGAGGGTAAAAGATGCCCTTGAGGCTTCTAATCTGAGCAAAGAGGAAAAGACACTATTAGTTTTGTAGAAAGTTCTGTGAAGGAAAAAGGCAGATGAAGAGATAAGCTTTCCACATAAAAGAATCACTAATCATTAGAGAAATGCAAATCAAAACTACAGTGAGGTATCACCTCACACCAGTCAGAATGGCCATCATCAAAAAATCTACAAACAATAAATGCTGGAGAGGGTGTGGTGAAAAGGGAACCCTCTTGCACTGCTAGTGGAAATGTAAATCGATACAGCCACTATGGAGAACAGTATGGAGGTTTCGTAAAAAACTAAAAATAGAACCACCATACGACCCAGCAATCCCACTACTGGGCATATACCCTGAGAAAACCATAATTCAAAAAGAGTCATGTACCACAATGATCATTGCAGCACTATTTACAATAGCCAGGACATGGAAGCAACCTAAGTGTCCATCGACAGATGAGTGGATAAAGAAGATATGGCACATATATACAGTGGAATATTACTCAGCCATAAAAAGAAACGAAATTGAGTTATTTGTAGTCAGGTGGATGGACCTAGAGACTGTCATACAGGGTGAAGTAAGTCAGAAAGAGAAAAACAAATACCATACATTAACACATACATATGGAATCTAAAAAAAAAAGAAAAATGGTTCTGAAGAACCGAGGGGCAGGACAGGAATAAAGATGCAGATGTAGAGAATGGACTTGAGGACACGGGGAGGGAAAGGGTAAGCTGGGATGAAGCGAGAGAGTGGCATGGACATATATACACTACCAAACATAAAATAGATAGCTAGTGGGAAGCAGCCGCATAGCACAGGGAGATCAGCTCGGTGCTTTGTGACCACCTAGAGGGGTGGGATAGGGAGGGTGGAAGGGAGATGCAAGAGGGAGGAGATATGGGGATGTATGTATATGTATAGCTGATTCACTTTGTTATAAAGCAGAAACTAACACACCATTGTAAAGCAATTATACTCCAATAAAGATGTTAAAAAAAAAAAAAAGAGAGATAAGTTTTACACTAGAAGGTCACGCTGGGATACTCAAGTATTGTATAAATATCCAGCCACAGCAGCAGATTCAGGAATAAAGTGAAAGGAAAGCATCGCTGGAAACAGAGCCTCAAGGTCATCTTCATGTGGTGATTGCTATGGTCTCAACGTTTTGGGCCCCCCACCGCACCGCCAGATTCATATGTTGAAATCCTAACCCTCCCCAAAGGTGACGGTATTAGTAGGTGAGGCCCTTGCAGGGTGTTTCAGTCATGAGGGAAGAACCCTCCTGAATGGGATTAGTGCCTTATAAAAGGGGCTCCAGAGAGATCCCTAGTCCCTTCCACCATTTGAGGACACAGTGGAGACATGTGTAACTGGAAGAGGGCCCTCACCAGAAGGTGACCATGCTGGTGCCTTGATCTGGGACTTACCCGCTTCCAGAACTGTGAGCAATAAATACCTGCTGTTTTTAAGCTACCCAGTTGGTGGTATTTTGTTATAGCAGCCCAAATGGACTAAGACAGTGGCCCAAGGGGAAATCAAAATGTTTTGGGAGAGATGAAAATGTGGCAATTTTTAAAAAAAGATTATAGAGTCATTTGCAAAGGTAATTAAAAATAAACAGAATGTGACAAGTTAAAAGTAAAAAAGAATTAGTAGTCATCTATTTTATTCAGGGTGTCTTATGAAGCTTAACAGTTAACAGACTTGGCTTTTATTGAAACGTTTCCATTTGAAATTATATTTACTTCTTTCAATCATTAATTCTAATAAAACTTCTATTAAGGATCCTAAAACGTTAATTTTCTACATTAAACTAAACGCCATGGTAGCAAAACATTACTAGCAGAATCGTCACATAAAAAGGCAAATGCAGCCTGCAATAAATCACTATTTGCTGTATTTCATATTCTACGTAGCCAAAGATATCTACATGGACATATTTTACCCAACACATGACAATATGACATTTTCAACAACATTCAAATGACAACCCATATTTGTTGTGTAAATTCTACAGCATTCCAGCTTGCATGCAGCTGGAAACTGGTATAGCTAGATGACACCTGGACCAGCATATGGTCCAGCACCTGCCCATCTTACTCTTTTTTTTTTATGTTGTGGGTAGGAGTTTATTAATTAATTAATTAATTTTTGCTGTGTTGGGTCTTCATTTCTGTGTGAGGGCTTTCTCTAGTTATGGCAAGCGGGGGCCACTCTTCATTGCGGTACGCGGGCTTCTCACTATCGCGGCCTCTCTTGTTGCAGAGCACAGGCTCCAGACGCGCAGGCTCAGTAGTTGTGGCTCACGGGCCCAGTTTCTCCGCGGCATGTGGGATCCTCCCAGACCAGGGCTCGAACCCGTGTCCCCTGCATTGGCAGGCAGATTCTCAACCACTGCGCCACCAGGGAAGCCCCCCCATTTACTCTTGATCAGAGTGTGTGTTGTATTATAATGCACATTTATGCACAGCATGGGATTGAAAATATCCCCCTATAACTCATTCTCTTTAAGAGAACCACCATGAAGGACCAGGAAGAGTGCCAAGTGCAGTTGGGGCTTACATGGTACAAGCGAAGCCCCTACTGTATGTCCCCACTTAAACCTCAAATTTGGGTAACCAGCCAGTTGTGGTCAAAAAGGCTGGACCACTGTTTCCCCTCATGTTCCAACTAGGGTGTGATCAGCAGCCTTCCTCTTTCTCTGAGGGGCTTTTACTCCTGTTCATTGACTGCACCATTACACCTTCCGTGTTTACCTCTTGGAACCCAGAATTTTCCCTTATCTGGAAGTTTCTATGACCGTACCATCCAGTCTCCCTGCTGGCTAACCTCCCTGCAGGTTAAGGTGGTGTTTGTCCCTCCCAAAGCATAGATACCTGGTACAAAACCACTGCCTTAGGCTCTCTTCCAGTGTCCCCTCTTTGACTCTCAACATTGCCCACCACTTCGACCATGATGCCATGGGAATGGAGGACAGAAATTAAGCCTTAAACAAAAACACTCACGACAGGAAGAAGTAGAGTGAAGAAGAGGAATCATATAAAACTTTTCCCTTCCCTTTTCCTACCATCTCTGTTCTAATCAGCTTGTGCCACTAGCAATACCACTTCCCCTAATTGTGGCTCCAGAAACCCAGAAGCATGGACACACTCTCACAGCTTCCAGAAAAACTCGCATTTCCCTCAACCACCTCAATTTATTTTTATCATATTCTAGAAAATACTATAGAGATTAAATTTCCAAGATTTTTTCTTTTTAAAGTTACATCCAGCTAAGTATATCCATCTTAAGTGTACAACTATATGAGATTTTTGCATATACATACATGTGTACATACAAGTAGATATGTGTGTACTTGTGTGTATGCACATACTGTAATAACCACCACCCAGATCATGACTTAGAACATTCCCAGTGCCTCAGCAGGCACTTCATGTCCCTTCCCAGTCAACCTCTTTGCCCCCACAGGTAATTACTATCCTGATTCCCATCATTGTTGATTAGTCTTAGCTGTTCTTAAACTTCATATAAAGGAAATCATATTGTATATATTCTTTTGTCTGACTTTATTATGCCTAAGAGATTCATCAATGTTGTTGCATACAGTTCATCTTTCACTGCTCTGTTACATTTTACTGTGTGAGTACAAAGTTAATTTATCTGTTCTACTGTAGAGAGACATTTGGGGGTTATTTCCAGCCATGCACCTGTGAACATTTTTTTTTTTTTTTTTTTTTGGTAGACAGGCCTCTCACTGCCGTGGCCTCTCCCGTTGCGGAGCACAGGCTCCGGACATGCAGGCTCAGCGGCCATGGCTCACGGGCCCAGCTGCTCCACGGCATGTGGGATCTTCCCGGACCGGGGCACAAACCCGTGTCCCCTGCATCAGCAGGTGGACTCTCAACCACTGCGCCACCAGGGAAGCCCTGTGAGCATTCTTA